TTTGTTTCATCTCGGAAGCTGTCTACTAAAGATATTGAAGATTCCCCATGTGAAAAATCTTGAAAAAACTGTTAAACTGTCTCGAGCATGTCTTCCTTCTGTTATCAGTGAACTAAAAAATTCGGATCAACAATTCGAAATTAAGGAAGGATTACAGTGTTATTGTTCAAAACAAGTTTTTGCTTTAAATATTGGTTTTTTCCACTGCTACTGTCACTGCTCGATCACCTCTGCCTACGAAAAATCTACTGGGAAAATGTGCCAGATGAAAAATGGTAAAAGGGTAAGACTGTATATCACTCGAAAACTGAACATTTCACAGAGGGTAAAGATACGAATGGGCAAATAGCACGGCACACACCTGCAACAGATAGTAGCTGAATTCTCGTCGTAAAATCATTTTTGTCCTCAAGCAACTGTATTCACCTGAAATTCCCACATAGCACTGAAACAAAAAAAAATAACAACCATGCAGTACCACTCCAAGAATGAATTTTTGTGGCCGGCATTCCCAAAAATCCAGTATCAAAAAAAGAAATACTGAACAGAAATAGTAATGCTACAAAAAGGCTACAGCATCAATAATAAACTGTGATACCTGTGTTCGTTTTACTCGTACAGTAATCGGTCAACACATCTTGAAGCTCAAAACTCGGTAAGCTTTGTCGTAAGCCTTCTTTTTGCTGAATTGGATTCGTCAACTTCCATTCGTATTTGATGTCATCGGTAGTATAAGCATCTTCAAAAGAAACGGTATACATATGGGCATTTATAAGTACAGAGTGCCCATGCAAAACTGCGACGTTGCCGAAAAGCGACCAAACGTGTCTCGCCCTTGCTCTCGATGGATCAATTTGCTCCAAATCAGGCTCGCCAAAACCTATTCTACATGTGAGCACCATCTCATCTAAGTCATTTACTGATCAGCAGGGCACTTTGCAATCAGTAAACAAACAATGCATCTCACCCACCTTACTTTAAAATCATTTATGAGTGCGCTGACGGCCTTCATGCCAGTCATTTGTTTTCGTTTTCTGCGTGTTTACGCAGTGAGTTGACAGATGTCCTGCAAATCATCACCCTTCCGGCTACAGCTAAGATCATCTTCATCACTTCCTGTGATTGCATTAATACTGTATTACTGAAGAGTTGTGCACGGGTTTTTGTGCTTGTTTATCTCAGAAAAGTTGACGATGAAGTAAAATGCGCGATAGCCTTCTGATGCGAGCTTTGAGTGGAGGTTTCTTAATACTTACAGGCCTAGGCAAATGTAACTGTCAGCCTCTTTCTAATTTAGGTTGCTGTGTGTTCGCTGGTGCCCTTTTCGCAAAGGAAAAACCAGAACAAAAAATTCAAAAGGTTTATTGCCCGTAAGAGACAAATGACTATTTGAATGATCATAACTATTTGAATGACTAAAGAATCGTTTTAAACATTTTTATGGATCGATCTCCAGAGATTTCATGAAGAAGCACGTGAAAGACCCATTGCTTCGACGAATAAACAATTTTGCTTATAAAGATAAATGACAAGCTAATTTTTGACTGAAGAAAAAAACATTGCACCTCTCCTGAAGAAAGACGCATCTACCTTCATTTCCTCACCGTTTTCCCTTTGGCCTCCAATATTCTTTGCTTTTAGCTGTCCTTCCTTTTCCTGCTTACCTTGTTTATAGCTACGCAGACATTTTTCATTCCTTATTGGAGCACATGTAGAACTTCCCTCCGCATAAATTCTGTGTGATACTTTGCGAGAAGTCACTCACTATTCGTTATAAACAAGCAATTTTGTAATCGACCGTCAAAAAGGCTTTAAAATAAAAATTAACACACAGCTAGCGAGATCAATAAGGCACGTTTGTCTATCCAGTGGATAATATTCTAGCGACATCGGACATGACAGCACCAACGATAACCTGCAAACCAAATTTTTTCTGCCAGCGTTAATAGAGAGCACATGCGTCACGTAGACTCGTGAATCTTAAAAGGGCATACTACACACACAACTCTGCTAAGTAGGTCTTATTTGGGCCACTTTTCATAATTGCATAGCTTTTTTTAGTTGCACTTATCAGTCAAGGAAGCAGTACGTTATATCATTTCAGCCCACAAAACAAAACGAATCTCCTTTTGGTAAATCGAAATCCGTTAAGTTTTTACGCCTACCACGTATCCATACTCTGTTCAGGCCAAAACATTGGTTAGTTTCATTCTCCAGCTTTGATTCAAAGCTTTCCAGAATCATTTCCAAGAAGTCAGCTTAAGAAAAGATAAGAGACCTGAAGACTGTTGCGGTGCTTGCGACATTCGACTGTTGCGACAAGCGCTGTACGGCAAAAACGCATAAAAACGCATAA